TTTTATTTAACCTACATGGCTAGATTTAGATTAGCTATTTGAAAGAAATTTGGTACTCTCACGGTAGTGAGGTGCTGGAACAGATTGTCCAAAGAAGATGTAGATGTCCCAGGGTTAAAGACTTGTTTGGATGAGACTTGGAGCAACCTTGTCTAGTGGAAGSTGTCCCTGTGMATGGCAGGGTGGTTGGAACTGGATGATCTCCAAGGTCCCTTCCAAATGAAGCCATYCTGTGAYTTTATGGKTCTTGTTGGGATAAACCCATGCATTTCGCTGAGAGTATCTCTGTGTTTCCTTTCTCCTTGCTTCCCAAAACTCTTCTCCCTTCTGCTGTCCCTTTTTCCACTGTCTAATTAGAAATTACAAGTGTGAAGCAATTTCCCATGTGCTAACACAGGACATGAATGGTTGTGGTAGGGCTCACCTCAATGGGGGAGRAAAGGGAAAAAGAGACATGATCTATGTCTCTTGTGCTTTGGACCCGTGTTGCTGTAACGGGATGGGATGGGATGGGATGGGATGGGATGGGATGGGATGGGATGGGATGGGATGGGATGGGACGGGACGGGACGGGACGGGACGGGATGGGACCTCCAACCTCATTCTCCTCTTTTCACTGGGCTCATTTTGGGTAGAGAACAAGATCAGCCCAGCCCAGCTGGGCCAAACTAACTCCCTGCATGTCCCCTTGCTGGTCCCCTTGGCAGCCCCCCCGAGGCTGAGCCTGTCCTGTGATGAGCAGGGGAGCCCCGTGTGCGAGGCAGCAGTGGGGAAGCCTCCAGCTCAGCTCTCATGGATCCCAGAGAGCAGCTCCACTGCAGAGGAAAAATGCCACCACAACGGGACAGTGACTGTCATCAGCAGGTTCACAGTGTGTAACAGCAGTGTGACCAACAGGACCAACATGGCCACCTGCATGGTGTCCCACCCAGCTGGGAACTGGAGCCACTCCATAGCCTGTTGTCCCTCAGGTGAGCTTCCCTTTGAGCATTTGGTGTTCAAACCCTGTTCAGCTTTGTCAGCTCTCGTTCCTTCCAAGAAGGAAAATCTGTAAAAGACATAGAAACCTTCAGTGAAGACCTGTAAAGACAAGAGTATCAACCACAGCTGCTTCTGCCCAGAAACAGCACCAGCTTGTTTGAGTTCTGGACACTATTTCCTAGTGTTCTCTTCCCTAAGAGGGAATAAGTGTCACAGTATTCTTTTGATAGTGGAAATGCTTTTGGAAAGAAACAGAGACAAAGCAGTCAGATCTTTGTGTTACAATACTCATGTGGAATGGGAATAGCAGCAATTTTTTATCAGATACAAGTTTTAGTGACATGATAAGAGAGAAAAAGAAAGCCARCTCTTTCTGGTCTGCAGAAAAGAATACATTCCTTCATTCTGAGTTGTGAATGTCTGATAGTGCATGTCCCCTGGTTTCTGCTTTCTGGTTTTCTTGTTGCTTTTRAGAATATACACAAGTACTGAGAAAAGTTGAGTCCTTGAGAAGAGCTCAGGTGTAGCATTGTGAAAAAATATTCTGCATGCCCACTGTGGGATTTGTGGGATCTACTCTTGTCTCTGACACAGACTCCACTTGTGTTTCTCAGCAAAGTTTCATTATATTTCTTTTACAAGCATGCTGAAAATATGTATGTGCTAAAGCAACATTTATCTTCTACTGAAATAACACAGCAAATGAGAAGTAAGAAGATATAACTGAGATTAACTCTTTGTGTTTAGAAAAAAACAACTTTATCCYGTATGTCTACACCATTCCTTTTGTTCTGATCGTTATCATCTCGATGGCTGTCATTTGCTATTTCAAGCTCCACAGTGATAGGTATGTATGATAAGATGCTAAGGAAATATTGTCTAGTGCTAGAAGAAATTTTAAAGAACTGTTTGTGTCTTGAAATCATATGATTTTGTCAGTCTGCTGCTGTGAGTAACTGAATTAACTACATCAAATATTTCTRTACTGCAGACACTGCATTGCACACATCTTCATGGAATAATGCACCTGAGTAAAATATAAATGAGAATAAGTTAGCAGAGGACCCTGATTGCATTGCCTGCTAAAGGGGAGCTCTTCCTTCTGATAGGAACTTGTGAGAGTAAAACTGTACTTCAGACACKGTGATAATCTGCCAGTGTCTCTCTYGGTTAGATCAGAGCATTGGCTCTGCTGCCTGGTAAATTGTACTAAACACCAGCAGACTGGGCAGTGTCAGTCTGCCATATGAACAAAAGAGACAGCAGATTTTACCTGTGTTTATGAAAAAGTTCCCTGGGTGAAGCTGGAGTCTAGTTCTTTTAGGATTTCCTATGAAGAAAAAAAGTAATTCCAAGGAAAATCTACAGGAATCATTTGTGCAGTGGAAGGTTGAATTAGGCACGTGTATAGCTGTGTTTCTCCTTTGCCTTTTCCAAACTGTTTTTCTCTCCAGGCATTTTCCTCTGAGGTAAGAATTAATTAAATACAATTCCACCAACCACAAAATGTATATCCTTAAAGAGGGCTTTGATTTTAATCTTTTCCTTCCATTTTATGTATAAGCTCCCACAAAGATGAGAAAAGACCTCTTAAAAAAGTTAGGGTGCTATAATTTCAGGATCAGAAGTCAAGGAGAGAGAAACATGATAAAGCTTTACTCTGGAAGACAAGGAAAARAAATGTTTCATAAGCTTTTGATCAAAGAAACCAAGCTGTGATCAAGCCAAACACGCTTTAATACTTGTTTTCTTTTTCACAGACCATGCCACAAAACCAAGCCTCCTGAAATTGCTCCTATACATTCCCAACAGGTAAGGAGGATGATGTAAATTAGACCATCACCAAACCAYGGATCTTCTGGTAGCCTGGAAACATGATCAGTAAAGAGAAAACAATTAGATTTTTACTCTCTGCTTTCAGCAGGTACTACTGTGTCTTCTAKATTTACTCTTGGAACTTAATAGGGCAAAACAAAGCTTTTCTTCACTTAGAGCAAACTCTAGAGTCGTGTTCCATCAGCAAACACTCAGATACTGCCATGCCTTAATCTTAACAAGGAGTGAGTCCCATCACATCTCCCTCATCATATCAGATACTCTGACTATAAYTTCTCTCCAAACAATAATCAGGAAKGGARGCAATAGCATGRGTTGGGGAATRTTAAGACAATTATTAGTAAACAAGAAGATTRAGCAACAAAATTAACAAACACCTGGAAAAAAAGAACGTCCCTTTAATGTCCAGTAKGATAATGTGTGAGTTTTGAAGACCATTCTTTATCCTGTATGGTCAATCYACAATCAAAGAAACACACATAATCAAGAAAAAATATTTTATAAAACAATGGAAGGGTGCTGAGCTGCAAACTGGGAGATATTATTGAATTTCCTATGTTGCTAGAAGCTTYAGATTACTATTCCTGCTGTTCCTACCTCCCAGTTGTTGCTGACAGATGCAGTTGTATTGATGTAAAATAATGGTTTAAGTACCAGTGTTCTTGCTGTCGTGTCARGTGACTTCTATTAGCATGTCTGTAAAGTGAAATTGTACACTGATGGAGGAATGAATCAAGATCAAGGCTCCAGCATCTTGTTTGCTCTTTCTAGAGAATTAGACTCTAATAAAATTTTTTTCAGGCCAACAAAAGTGGAGTAGAAGGGGGATAAAAGGAGACAAGTGAAACAATACCTCAGCTTTACCATCCAAATCTTTGACAGAAACAGCAATCCATGTTTTTTTTTGGTAGAAAAAGAAATAGAGGAGTTTTTTTTCTTTTGCTGAAGAGGAGTAAATATGGAAGCACTATTTCCCAGTTATTTTCTTCAGTCCAGATGGCAGATTTGCAGAGTCTTGACAAACTAAACTCCTATGTGTATTCATAGKTTTTGGTTTTGTTTTCTAGGATGATGTGATGGAAGTGGAACCTTACACCACTTATGTGCAGAAGGAAAATGTAATTTACAACTCAGTGTCTGATCTGACAGGGGGACAGACTCTTCCACAAGACTTCTGTCCAGGAACATGAATGTTTCAACAACACCGGAAAAGAGAAGAGATACTTTATATGTAGAAGACTGGTTGTAGAAAGAAACTTCTCAGAGGATTTCTTCAGATTTTGGGGCAGAGAGATCACTAGGTCTGTTCAAACACCTGATTAGTCCATAGCTCTTTTTCCATCCCATTTTGTTTCCTTCCTTGGAAAGATGTGACTGACCACACACTATAGTTTTTTTCTGGAAAAGATGTTGTAACCAGTCACCCCTTTGCTATTCTTGCCTTGGAGGTTGTAGTTTTGTCAGTCACTTTTAGTTGTTACTTTGATACACTCGACACTATGATGCACGCATTTGGGAGACCGGAGGAGTGTTATGTGTGAACTAAAACAAAACACTCTTCCATCAACAGCCACTTTTTTCTAATTCATCTATTAGTAACATGTGATCTGAGAACTGATCATCACTGAATACCTCAAATAAGAGAAGGTAATRGTAGGGAATACTCAATTCTGGAAATGGGATTAAGGGATAAATTTAGAGGGTGGTCCACTAAGAAAGAGACTCTACTAGCATAACTCATTTGCTTGTTAGGTTCATATCCAGCATTGTGGGATGCCTTTACAGGATGCCATCCAGAGGGACCTGGACAAGGTCCAGAAGKGGRTCARTGGGAATYTCATGAGGTTTAACAAGACCAAGTGCAAGGTGYTGCACCTGGGTTGGGACAACCCCTGGTATCAACACAGGCTGGGGRATGAACAGAKGGACAGSAGCCCYGATGTGAAGGACTTGGAGTGGGTGGGAGGCTGGAAATAACCCAGCCATGTGCACTTGCAGCCCACAAAGCCAAGCACATCTKGGCTGCATCCAAAGCAACAAGGCCAGCAGGGGAGGGAGGGGATTCTGACCCTCTACTCTGCTCTGGTGAGAGCCCACCTGCAGTGCTGCATTCAAATCTGGGGTCCCAGCATAGGAAGGGCATGGACCTGTTGGGGCTGATCCAGAGGAGGCCACCAATGGTGATTAGAGGGATGAAACACCTCTCCTGTGAGGAAAGGCTGAGACAGCTGGGATTGTTCAGCATGGAAAAGAGAAGGCTTAGGGGTGAGCTAATTGCAGCTTTCCTGTACCTGGAGAGAACCTGCAAGAAAAACAGAGATGGACTTTTACAAGAACCTGTAGTGACAGGACAAGGGGAAATGGATTCAAACTGAGAGAGAGTAGGTCCAGGTTAGGTATTAGGAGGAAGTTCTGTTTTGTGAGGGTGGTAAGACACTGGAAGAGGYTGCTCAGAGAAGCTGTGGATGTACCATCCCTGGCAGTGTTCAAGGGCAGGTTGGATGGAGCTCTGAGCAGCCTGGTCTAGTGAAAGGTGTCCCTGCCAGGGCAGGTGGAGCCTGATGATGTTTAAGGTCCCTTCCAACACAAATAATTCCATAGTTTTGTGATTTCCACTAAATATGTTCCTTCTGTATTTGAGAWCATTGGTAGGGTTATTTTTCCATAAGATTCTATGGAGATATGGCATCCCTCTCTTTCTTAAGAATATAAGCATTAACATACCGTAAAATAATCATGTTACTCAAAACCCATAGGCTACTTTAAACAGGAACAAACATGAAATATTTCACAAACCAAAACAAGTTCAGATATATCTTCTATAAATGTGCAATAATGTACAGAAAGGATAAAATGCTTGCTAATTGTAGTCATATTTATTTTAACTACCACAACTAATTTTTTTTTTTATTTGTATGCCTAGATATTTTACTGATATTCTTTTCAATATACTTGCAAGTTCACGTTTTTTGTATGTAAATTAGCTTATATATCTTAATGTGTCATGTTGAGGTGACTTATTCTCACCTTCACAGAACATCCTTTGGGAATAAGTCAAATAAAGTGCCTTTTATACAAAAGCAGTTCTCAAACTTTTTGTGTTGATGCCTTTCTAGCCTAAAGTACAAACTGGACTGGGTACTCAGTCTGACTGTAGCAACAGAAGAATTGTATTTTTCCTTTAGATTTAGAAATGTCGTTTAATATGCATTGCTAGAGCTTTCTTTTGAGCTAAGCTCCCAAGGACTATGACACAGTGCTACAGAAACAGACTTCTAAACTTATTGCAATTGCTAAATGTATTACTCATGTAAATTGATACAGTTGGTTATTTATTCTCACTCTRGCAGCTATGAAACAGCCACTCTTGTCCAGGTGCTCTCTGCATGCAAGTATTGCTTTTCTCCATTTCTGCATGTAATTTTAGAGGGAAAGGGATCAAAGCTGAATATCAAGCAGCTACAAAACTTTTAAAGGAGCCTCAGTTTCCAGTGACTGGCCAAGGAAGAGAGCCAGTCAACACAGGCATAATCCTCTGAAATTCCCCACTTAAAACTGGTGTAATACTGACCAGTGATCTTGCTTCCCACTCAAAAATAGAGTCTCATCCCTTCTTATGACTTTTTTTCTGCGGACTAGGAAGTGGTTTATGTTTTTCAATGTCCATAAATGAGGTTCATCAGCTYTTGAAGGTAAATTGTTGCCAGCTTATAAGCAATATGTTTTATTTACAGAAGTGTATCACCTGCTAATCTGCTGTTTAGCTGTGGGGTTTTATGATCCTTCACAGGCCTACCACATGGGACTAAATCACATGAGATGCAGACCTGGCCATTGCTAAGTTGCTATCTGGTTGATTATGTTCTTTGATATTCTCTTTCCTTTACTTTATTCCACATGGGCAGAAAACAGGATTTTTGTTTGTGACTGTGATAAATAACATTGAGTTAAGAATCTTATGTATGAACAGCACAGAAGTCTAAAGCAGAGAGTTCCTTCATGCAGCCCTGTTTCTCTGTCAGGTGTTTGCTGCTCCTCTCTGCACTGTGCTGCTGTTGTGGTGCAGACATCCTCTGCAGAAAAAGTGCTGTGTTGGCTGTTTCTTAGCAGTCGGGCCAGCCTGGCTCCAAAYTCCCCAGCGTGTTGCAAAGTCACAGGAAGAAAGTCAGCAGCTTTTCAGCTCATCCCATGCAGAAAGGTTTTGGCTTTGACCACATTTACCAGCGCTATCGCGTGCTGCGACGTCTAATTTTGGTAAATTTGCATCTCCCACTTTTACTACTGTATTTTGTCTTGACACGCATGTTTCACTCTCCTGGCAGCTTGTAACTGCCATTCCTGCTCTAAACCAGCACTTAATAATCACAGTTACCTTATGAGTGTAGAGAGTCCTGAGCACCAAGCTCACACGCACAGCACATCAGCACATTCTCTGCTCCTGCTCATCTGTTCTTCAGGATGGCAGTCGAGTGCTAAAAAACAGAGGCACCACAAATCCTGAGACTGAGCACAGCTTCTGTACATACATCAGTTCCTGGGCCTCCCTAAATGCAAATCGTTTCATGGGAACAAGGTCAAGCCCTCTGACACTCATCACAGCAACGTGTAAGATTGGTTACATCGCAAATATCAGCAGAAGGGTCATTCTAGCATCACTCACCTGCTTCAAGYAGCTTTGCTAATAACAGAGTCCAGTAAAAGTGGGATTTCAGTCTCCACATCCCAATAACTTTCAGGATTTTAAAACTACATTCTCCTGCCAGTCTCACCTACTCATATTTGATGTTTTACTAATTACAGCCTAGTTCGTAACCCCACTGTCCATCACAGACCTTCTGTTACAGTGTGAGTGACTGCTGCAGTTCTGCCCAGCTTACATCCAGACAAGAATTATAATTACTTCAGAGACTTCTATTTTCATCCTATTGACTATATAAATTTAAGTTTTCCTGTTAAAACTGGATGACTTTCACACGAGCATTCTGCCTCTAGATATAGCAAGGACTTCTTCATACAAATCTAAAGAATGAGTGTACTTACACAAATCTGGAGAATGAATGTATTGGCAAGGTAAATCTAAATTTTTTTTTTTTTGCAAAAAACCCCAATTTATTAAAATAAATTTTAAAAAATCTAAAATCTTTATRAGTAGAATAAAAACTGATTCATGTTTAATTGGTAGGGAAAGAAAAGTGTACAGTGCCTTTAGTCATAACTAGAAAGAAAGATAAAAAATACATTTGCACAGGAGCTATGCAGTCAGATCACAACCTATTCACAGAAAATACTAAGCCAAGAATTTTCACTACTAAATATATTTCATAATGAATATGTAAGAATTGCTTCTACAGCCTAACATGTTCTCCCTTGCATTCACTATTGAGAAATCTTTTCTCTCTGATGGTTTAAAGATGACAGCTATTTTTGACCATGCATTAAGTTTAAAAATAATTTGCCTCATGCTTTTTGTCATTTACGTTTCTGGATGTTTATATACAGTTTCCTGACTGAGGCCAGTGTGATCTGAGGTATCTCATTATTTTTATTCAATTTCTTTGCTAAACTACTTCARTGACATCTGCCCAACAGAAATTACRTTCTTWAGGGTGTGGGCATGCTGGAATTATTGCTGATTGCATAGATCAGAYGGTCTTGTAACCTCCTTATGGTCTGCATCATCTGCCTCTGCCAGCATTGCCCTTCCATTTATGCTTAAAACTGTGTGCATTACCAGGCAGATGGTACTTTGAAGTTCTGAGTTTGCAAAGCACCTTGAATGAAGGGATCCTAATCCAGAACTAAGGATCCAACACCTTGTGAAAATACAAATTATAAAACAGAATCTGGAAGCCAAGCTAGACAGCATTTTTTTTTCCTACGTATTATGATTTAAACTAGCCAATTCACTCCAGAAATAGTGTTTGCATGAAAGTTTCCTCACTGATCAGTACACATGAATTTCTCCATAAAAAAAAAGTCTGAGAATTACACCTGCTTCTGTGCACAGTATCACAGGTAGCAGATGCAGGTGTTAATGCAATGCAGCAAAATCCCCAGCCTGAGTCATCAAACCCATAACACTGCACATTGCCAGTTTTCCTYTCTGTAAGAGCATATTCTTGTTGCACCATGATCCAGCCCTGCCRTTCTTCTCATTTATTCACAACTCCAGTTGTTATTATCTAGGTGTTAGCATTACCTTTACCA